AAAAAAAAAAAAGAAAAAAAAAAACAAACAAATAAAAAAAAAATTACAAATAACGTCAAAAGAAAACTGTGTAAGGATCTGTAAGGGCCTATCTGTTTGCAGGCAAAGATTTTCTTTTCTTTTCTCCGTCGCGATTGATATAATTTTGAAGCCTTTCCAAAAGATTCGTCGGAAAGATCTGGAAAGTTTGGATTGTACTGAAGACACGTAGACCAGATTCCACCCAAAGCTACACCAAGAATTTTGAAATAGAGATTGCTCTTGACGGGTCACCAGCTTGCATTAACAACTTTAGATTAATCCCCTCTTTAAAAAGTTATAAGCCTCATGAAGAATTCAAGAATTCCAAGCAAACGAACGCGAACTCACCCTTCAGAAGACATGTTGAATGTGCGAGACTAAAAAAGAGTAGGACTGGAACTAGCCTCGTACTGGTGCGTTTGGAAAAAGCCCGGGAAGATGGTTCAAGATGGCGGTAGTGACGAGGTTGGTAGAGTGTTTATTTTTATATCAATATTAGGCCAAATCTTGGGACTGAATGAGTCCAAATAAGATTATATTTTAAAGAGTGCAGTTTTAATGCTTGTAATTTAGCTTTGGCATAGTTTAAAACCTGGTTTCATTTGCCTCTGAAGACAGTGCTATAATTCGATGAAATTACTTCGAATCTCGTGCTGTCTGTGGCACCAAATCTATTTTAATGCTTCAAGGGAGGGATTCTAAACAATTAATTCTATAAGAAATAGAAATGGAAATTTTTATTCGTGTTTTCATATGTGCATTTGCCCAATGTAACCTCTTTCGATTCAGTGAGTCAGAGAATTTAGACATTGTTATAAAATAAGCTTATTTTTACATCAGCAAAAAGTAGCTTTTGATCATTCTAGTAGAGTGGTCTTGAGTAGGCATGTACTGTGTGTATTGTTACCGCATTATAGAAGGTGCTGATGCTTTGTTCTTGGGTGAGAAACCTAGCAGCTAAAAAAAGGAAAAAAGACGCTAGCTGCCTGAAAGTGCCTTCTGTCAGAAACTCTAAATAGTGTTATAAATGGGTGCTACCAAGCTAAAAAAATGAACTTTGTGATATCGCTGGTTGATCATGAGCCTGTGACAGACTAGCTTCCTATTCAGAGGCGATACTCTTTATACTCATAGTCACGGCGTGGGTTCTTAAGGTAATTGGACAAGACTCTACCTAACATTCCAGATCATGTAAACTAAAGGCATCATGCAGTTGAGTTTCAATCGATACACTCGATCAACCCTCAATCGATACTAAATTGACACTTGATTGACACCTCTGCTGGAACTCAATTAACACTCCAGCAAAATCTTGGTTGAGAGTCAGTCGAGAGTCAACTAATTTTCTTAAACATGCATTGAGTGTCGATCTAGAGATATGAGTCAGATGACACTTGTAAGACTATTGACTAAAAGTCGACTAGGCATCGATCAGGTGTCGATCAAGTGTCAATCAGGTGTATATTAAGATGTTGATTGAGTGTCGACCAAGTATCGATTGAGATATCCATCGAGTGTTGATTGAGATGACGATCAAGCGTTGATCGAGGCTTGATCAAGGGTATCAATCAACACTTGACCATGGATACCTTCACCATGTATGGTCCAACATTCCTTTAATTATTTGTACACCTTGTGTCATAAAAATCAATTCCGTACAAAGTTTTGTCATTCTTCTCATAGATCCATAGAAGAAGTCAACAAACTAGCTGATGCTGCTAGTCTCGTCAATAGGACAGGCCCTGTACAGGTGCTGCATTTCTCTGTGAATCCCAACTCTGATGAGTACAAACTATTAGAGCTGCCAAGAAGTATACTGGAGACCCTTGATGTTGGAAATAGGTAAGTGTATAATCTGGTGATTCCACCCTGAGCTT